ACCAGTAGGAGCGGCAGTCTTCAATGGATCCTCTCCAGCGGTGGCTGATGGCGATGTGGTCGATTTGAGTCCAGCGCTGTGAAGAAGTTGTCGGTCTCCATGTAAGTCGGTGCCGTTTTTTTGTGCGAGAAGTTTGTGCTTGACGGAAACAGTCCGCGGTCAGCACAAAGTTGGAGTAGGTGTTCTCCGTTGTCAGTCCTGTTGGTTGGGATTGCATACGGACCACCAAGTAACCTCTCTGATTCGTCCAGGAATCCCACTTGAGCATTGAAGTCTCCAGCGACCACCACGATGTCCGTTGACCAAGCGCTTTGGAGCAGTAGAGAGGGGTCCTTGTAGAATTCATCCTTTATTTCTGGTGAACTGCAATCGGTCGGTGCATATGCGGATACGACGAATAAGCATCGACGCTTCGTTCTGTAGCTGTTGACGCGTACTGAGATCGGATCGTGATTGCGCATCTTGATATCGCTCGTCCCCCATCTCTAAACTATGATTCCATGTTTTATAGGTAGGTTAGATGCTACTAACCGTAATAACGCGACTTGATCGTCTTTACAGAATATTTCATTATAAAATATATATATTTGTGTGTGGTGACGTGTGCCTGCTTCACCCCTTTGAAAACATCTGCTCGTTGGAAAGTTGAAGCCTTATTTTTGCAGATTTAGTGCCTCAGTGTCCATACTCAGTGCACATTCACTTCCAGATTACACACGTCCTAAGCAACTGGTTCTTTTTTTCTTTTCTTGTGTATAATACAGCTTCGGAAACCGCGATTCAATTGGGACTACCGGTACCATCAGATTCCCCGTGCATGTGAGTTCTTCTGGTGCACCTTTTTCCGCCCGTTTATTGCTTCCGGTTGAATGTCCTACAGAAATGTTTCATTACGTAGTTTTCCATTATCCTTTCCATCCACGTCGAACTTATTTTCCTCTTGGCTGCTTGTCCATTTGCTGCCTGTGTGTGTGTGTGTCTGTACTGGAACGCTTCATGAACTGAGCTGGTTATTTTTCAACACCCTAATTGGTCAATTGTTTATCTCCTTCTCTCAGATTGCAATCCGACTGCAGATCGACCAGCTCGCGGAGATTTGTCTGTGCTCACTTTGCGCGGGCATTCGGTTCGTTTCAGTCACATACGTGCCCGTTTCTCGCCCAGACATAGCACGGGGCAACGATTTGCGTATGCGGGCAGTGCATGTGGAGTTTGGCAAATTTGGGATCTATTTACTGGTAAACGGGTGAGTTACTACTATCTTCACAGTCCGGTCACGATGGATACATTTTGTTGGGCTCCAGGTTGCCCAGTGTTTGGCAGTGTTCATGAATCTCTGACTCGAGCTTGAAGTATACTTCTCATAACCTGTGTTTAAATAACACTTTCCACCTCGTGATGCATGGAGTCCACGCGCACGTTACCACGTTGTCTATCAAAGTGGTTTGTAAGACGGTTGGTAGGCACGATGAAGCATTGTACTTTCTCTGTCACACGCGACCCCTTACCCTGCACTCACTTCTATTGTTGGGTTCTAATTCTGCGTGGCCCACAATCCCTTATGATTTTTTTAAAAGAACCGAACGTGGATAAATAACGGTAAGACATCTACTGTTTCCAAAGTCAACGTTTATTTCGGGCAAACGTTTGAGGCGTAAGCCGATGCAATCCCCCGGAATGTTTCCACAATGAGTTTAGATGGTATTAGGAATAAATGGAACAATTTCTCTGCTGTTGAACTGTTGAATGACTCGTCGTTGCGCAAACAGTTACGAGGTTGAAAGGAATTCGCGGAACTGAGGGTACTGTAGGAGCCTACACCGGTAATGTAGCCAGAACCACCTAAAAGGAAAGTTTGAGGATGCTTTTCGAGAATGATTCGATCGATTGAGAATTTATATATATATAT